ACTGTACATTATTGATGAGTTTAATGTGATATATGAACATGTTAATGGGTTGTTCTGCTCCTCTAACCCCGACACACTATTCTCATGCCATCTTAACCTGTAATAAATAAAACATCACAACTTGTTTTGTAGGTGATACTGTTGGTGACTAAAGTAAATAGATGTAGTGGAGTAAAATGTACAATATTTGTCTCTAGAGTTGAAGTATAAAGTAGCATGGAAATACTCAAAGGATCTCAAAATTATCATTAAAAAATGTATTTAATTACTCTGGATGACGTCTAACCCAGCAGCGCTTTAGCTCAGAAGATCCCTCACGTGTGTTAGTTGCTTTGCAGAAAATATTTTTCCTAGTGTATTTAGAATGAACTGCAGAGCAGACTTCAGACTGCAGTTAAAAAAAAACATGGGTAGGACTTCTGAAGAGGAGATTTGAAGCCTGAATTAGATTTTTGCCCAGTTGCCATCTTGGCAGGTACAGGAGACAATCCTAAACCATTTGCCTGAATTAGGATTTTTTGGGGGATTAGGAGGGAAGGCAGGGTAAAGTGAGTTGGACCGAGACGACAACCGAGTAAACTAGGGATACACTTATCTAATCAGTAGGTGCAGCTTATTAGTTTGGTTTTGTGTCCATTCATTCTGTCATGGTGGGTTGTCACTTTGATTTTTACTGTCACAACAATCTCTCATGATAACTGTTGTTTTATTTATCTCAATCAGCCCTCTACTCCGAGGTTTTGGTCAAGTATCAGATCGGCTTGGTGCAAAAGCAAATGTCCCAAAGAACATACAACTTGGTTGCCAGTTTATTAGGTACACCTAGATATAACTGCTGTCTGACACAATGCACCAATAATACAATAAAATGCTGTCTAATACAACATTCTTGCAGAATAAACCCTTCATTCAAGAAGGTGATAAGGTTCAACATTTGCTGAAACTGTTTTCAAGACCCTGATTCGGCTTGTGCAGCTGTTACTCTGAGATGTTTTGTTAATAGTAGTTCCTCCAGTTGTCGAATGATTGCAAAATGACTGTAAACGGCACAAAATGAGAAATTGAATGAAAAAATTTGATAAAGGGAAAACAACTATTAAGAGACACAAAACCACTAAAGATACAAAACGAGTAAGAAAGACAAAGGAAATACCCCAAACACAGCAATACAACAGCAAAAACATGCAAACAACAACAAAAACCCTAAAAACAACAATAAAAAGATAGAAAACAACAAAAACTAATTACAAAACAAGTAAAAACTAGTGCGAGATGGCTACAAAGAGATGCAAAATGAGTAAAATTCACACAAAATTACTAAAAACAGATACAAAACATTTAGAAAGGAACACAGAACAACCCCAAAAAGACAAAGTGATCATGTGATCGCTCTGACAGTCTTTTTATTCGTTTAGAAGACGTAGGGACCTTTTACATGGCCCTGCTGGGCCCATTGTCACATAATCCATCCATGTTTCTCCAATCTGTAAACTTGTAACATGTTCTCAGGGGTTTTATGGATTTAAATGGTCAAAGCTGTGCCACAGACTCAGGTAAAATATGCAGTGAAATGCAGTGTGGTACATTCACTAAGACCAGTTTGAAGCATGAGAATCAGAAAAACTAAATACAAAGTATAACAATATAAATAATTGTAATGATTGTGAAATGATTAATTGTGGATAATATACTGGACAGGGACATACCAAACAGTGTAAGATTAAGGGCAGGTATAGCAGATAAAATATATTATAAAGGTGGAGTACAGCCCACAAACCTGACGGTGGATCTGAACAGTCCCAGATGAAAGGTCAGAGTTCACCCTTTCATCTCAATGGGGTGTCACTGTGATGGTTCATCCCTCTGATCTACAAACAGTCACCTGCTGAAGGGCTTGTGCTTCAGTGTGCACGTGGAGAGCGGTCATAAGGCTGAAGCCCTGTTCTGTTCTTGCTAGTTACATTAAAAAATGACTGTACTGATTCAGTCAAAAACAGCAAATCTACACACATTCAGAAGCCTTTGGGCAGAGTTCAGAGTGCAGCAAAGAAGGAGCCACTTTTCCATCATCTTCTCGTGTTCTGTGCCTGCGGTGTGTCAACAAAAAAGAGGAGCAGAGTCTGATTTTCACTGTATGAGTCAGTAGCAGTTTTACAGATTAGTAGCTAGTAGTCACTCTGCAGCAACAGGTTACGCTGCCCCTAAAGGATGGGTTCAGAGTTTTTCACTTGGGTCTTTAAACAACACTGATGTGCTCATATGTATGTGACAATAGGTCTTAAGTGCTGTAAACAGAAACAAAAAAGGGTACATTTGTCTTAAATAGACTTTAATTTTGAAAGGTACTGACTAATTAGCTTGATGGAGCTTCATTTGAGCCTCAGACGAACTCTGGACTCAGTTTTGATTCTGGAGCTCAGGCGGTTTGTTAGTTTGTTTCTATTTCTGTCCCGATTTTGACCTGTTCTCATGTTCATATGGGTACGTCAATATTGTTTTAGGATTAGAAATCAAAGTGTAGGAAAATGATGTAGAAGCTAAATTTTCTAAACAATATATTTGTATGTGTCCTACAGTGTACGGCACTCGGAATAGCAATAGTATTTGGAACTAGCAGTGTATGGTATTAGTATTTGCAGGTGAAGTTGCAGTGTAAGTGCACAGTTCATATGTAGAATTAGCTGAGATTTACACCAGTGGAAACTGCTGCCCACACAGTTGCTGTAGTTTGACTGACAGTAAGTGTCGCTGCCTCTGCAGGTCTTTATCCTGTACTTCAAGCCAAGTACCTTCAGGTGTATCCTGCTCCGTTGGGTCCGAATGCTCGGCTTCTCCATCGTCTACGGCACAGTCACACTGAAAATGTACAGGTAGGATGGCACTGTGATTTATTTTCCTTAACAGCAATTCAGCATTAACTGCACCAACATTCAGCTGATAAGATCAAGTCGGACACAGCTGAGCACATGAGATGGGAACCACGTGAGGCTTGTTGAAAGACATGCAGTTGGTTCCTTGATCTGGAAGAAAGCAGGCTGATAGGAAAGATGTTTATTTGGTACAACAAATTATTGGCTGTTGGTGTAAAGAAGTATAAACATGGTTCTACAACTCTGGGTTTGGTGAGGCATTTATAAATGAAAAGCTCAACATCAGTTTGTTCAAATAATCTGCTCACTGTGTGTATTTAGGATGACAACAAATAAATCTGCTATATTATGAATTGTAATAATTATGTTATATGATTTATTTACAGTGTCTACACATTACCTTTAACAGTCAAACAAACAATCCTTTCCTCTGCACAGGGTGCTGAAGGTGTTCCTCTCCCGTACGGCCCAGCGGGTGCCCTACATGTCCAGCTTCCACCTGCTGAGGATTCTGGGAGTGATGCTGATGACAGTCAGCTGGTTTCTGTGTGCGTGGACAGTGGGTGTCCTCCAAAATCGTGACAGGAACATCCCGGTGTTCATCTCAACCACCACGTCAGACGGACAAGGGTTCAACCTGTGTTACCTGGATCGCTGGGACTACATGATGGCTGTAGGTGAGAGGCGGCAAAGGTGACGAGGGCACCTGGAGTCTGGACACATGAAAGAGACAACCGCACTTATTACCTCTGCCAAGGAGGTTATGTGTGTGTGACGGACAAATGTCTGGTTGGATCATCGGCATACTTGTCACAAAAATTACCCCCCCCAAAAAAAACATTGTTAACATGAGGCAAAATTTTAAACAGTCATATCTCAACATAAATATGAATGAAACCAGGTTTTTTGTTAACTCTAAATGAACATGCACATAACTGAACCCCTATGAAACCCATATGGTTTTGATCAAACCTCAAAGATTCCCAAAGAATTAACAACACAAGTCAATTTGCTCATATTTTGACCTTAAATAATGGTCAAGCAATTATTACACTTAAGTCATCCATCCATCCATCCATCCATCCATTTTCCTCCGCTTATCCGGGACCGGGTCACGGGGGCAGCAGTCTAAGCAAAGATGCCCAGACTTCCCTCTCTC